GGGGTCGACGTCATGAAAAAATCATGACGTCGGGGGTCTGGGAAGGAGGACAGCAAAGCTGAAGAGGAATGCCAGCGCGACACACACTCGGAGTAGCTCTGCCCCGAACCTTTTTTGTTGATGGTCCCGGGGCCCAGTGAGGGTCCCTGGAGGCCGAAACTTGCCCCAAGCCCGCCGTCGTGCCTTTGTTTCAGCACGCTACGGTCGGGAGTTTTTGAATGGCGTGTCGCGGCGGCGGCCCCGGCGACACCTTTTACGCCGCGGCGCGGCAGGAGCACTCCACTCGCACGTCGAAGCGAGACGGGGACACGGAGTCGCGAATCAGCAAGCCTGCCAGAGGAAAGGGAGGATGCGAGGGGGGCGGCCGCGGAGGAGGGGCAGGGCGCGGAGGCACTCTCACGCAGCGGGGCCGGCCCCTGCGACACGCTGTGCCCTGCGAGCGGGCAGCGTGTCGCTCCGCTCCGCGGGGCGGGAGGCTGGGGAAAGGCTCGGGACACTGGTGCCCCGAAACTGAGAAATGGACAGCGCGTCGCGCCGCAGCGTGGTGGGCCAGAACCGGCGGCGCGATGCGCGACACAAAGGTTCCCGACCGTAGGAAGGCCTGCGGCTTCTGCTTTCAGATCGACGGCCCGCCGCCCCTGGCGTTTCCTGCGCAGGGGAGGCACCGCTCGAGAGAAAGCGAAAAAACATTGACAGATGGAGAGCATAAACAAAAAAAACGTGCGGCGCGCGCGCGAGCAGCCTGTCTGGGCGGCCTCCACACCGCCTCCCCCTTTCCCAAGATTCGATTTAATCATCCTTTTTGTCCTTCTTCTCCTCTTCCCCCTCCTCCTCCCCAGTCCTTGTTCCTTCTTGGTGTGCCATTTGACCACCTAGCCGGCCGATGGGGGCCACATCCGAGGGGGTGGCATCGTACACCGTTCTAAAAGTACTACGAAATCATTGCTGTTCGTCTCTACACGGGCGGTGTGTTGTCGGCGCTGCGAAGAACGTGGCAGGAACGGGCCGCGGCGCGCATCCCGCGCGAAAGGCCGAGATGTCGCTTTCGCCGCTGCCCCGCGCCCATTTCTGGAGACTCGAGCCTTCGCTTTGGCGCGGCGCACATTTTTCGCGCGCAACTTCATCGACACGCGAGCGGAAGAAAATGTCGCTGTCGCCTCGGCACCGCGCAGAGGTCGCCTGAACGTGGCGCTCCCGCCCCGACGCGGCGCACATATGTCACTCACCGATGTTCGGGGCCCGCGCGAGTGGGCGACTTGTCGCGGCTGCCCGAGCTCCGAGGGCAGTCCGCTCGGAAGTGGCGTTCCCGCGCGGGCGCGGCGCATGGTTCGCTCGCCACGTCGCATGGATGCGGCAGCGGCAGCGGTGCCGCGCGAGAGTGCGCGAGATGCCCACCTCGCCCGAGCGCCGCGCGGCCTGCGAGTGGAAGTGGCAGTGCTGTGTCAGCGCGGCGCATGCTTCGTCTTCGCCACGCCATCGGCGGAAGTTCTGCCGCTCTTGATGGGCATGTGTTCCACCACCACCACCATAGGTTGGAGGGGGGGAGGAGGTGGAGGATGAGGAGGAGAAAGAAGAAGAGGAGGACCCCCTCCCCTCCTACTTATGGTGGTGGTGGTGGTGGTGGAAAACTTGCCAGTCAGCTCTCGCTCCTGCGCGGGCCGCGAACCATTCCCTTCGCCAAGTCGTCCGACGCAGGGCCGCGCGCGAGCGCCTTCCGTGTGAGAGGTGGGGGAGGAGGAGGAGGAGGAGGAGAGGAGAGGATGAGGATTAGGAGGAGGGATGAAGGAGGAGGAGGAGAGGAGGAGGAGGGAGATGAGGAGGAGGATGGGAGGAGGAAGGAGGGGGAGAGATAGGAGTGGGGGAGGAGGAGTAGGAGGAAGATGGGTTAGTGGTTTTGAATATAGGAGAGTGCTGGGCCCCCTGACTCGCTCGACCTGGCCAGCTCGATCCTCCTCCTGCTCTTGCTCCTCGATGGGCCTGCTCCCATAACACTCCCTCTCCTCCTGCAGCTCCTCCTTCTCCGTGGCCTTCCCCGTCTCCTCCTTCTTTTCATCCTCTCCTCCTCGTCCTTCTCCTCCTCCTCCTCCTCCTCCTCCTCCTCCTCCTTATCCTCTGTTTGCCTCCTATTCCTCTCCTCCTCCTCCTCCTCCTCCTCCTCCTCCTCCTCCTCCTCCTCGTTATCATCATCCTCATCATCATTCTTGCTACCGACCTTCTCCTTCTCCTCCTTCTTCTCTTCCCTGCGAGCCTAGCAGCAGATGTGCTCTCGAGGCCTCGCAAGCGTGCATCAGCGGGTGCACAGAGGCGGCGGATGCACGGGCCCCGAATCGTGAGAACGATCACGTGCTATTAAGCCTGATTGAGGGGCCAGACTGCACCGTATTGAGCGGGACTGCGCGACACTCGACAAGGAATCATGCCAGACGTGGGTCGGCTTTCGGCCACGGATGTGCCTGCGCAGATGCTGCATTGGACCTCCCACACAGAAGAAGAGGAAACGGCATAAACATAAACTGTTGGCGATCCTCGCGGATTTCTTGGATCCGCGATGAACCCCCTCCCTGGCGCGCGGAGCGCGCCAGGGGCGGTGCCGCGGGGGCCCGGCTCGGATCCGAGAAATCCGCGCGGAACGCCACAAGTTTAGGTTTACGGCTTCTTGCTGCTTCGGCCACTCGCGACCCCGGAGCCAACAGAGCCCCAAGAGGTTGCAGGGAGCTCCAGGGGCTGCTCCCGCCTGGTGCCAGAGGCTTCCCGCAGGCCTCCCAGAGGCCTCCAGGAGAGCTCCCCAAAGCTCAAACACTTGGTTTTCCCATAGAGTTGCTTTTGTTCCACGTGTTTCTCCATGCCGCACGCAGCCCCACGCTGCATCCCCACGCTGCACGGCAGCCCCAGGAGCACGCCCAGACCGTCCCGGCCGCCAGCGCACGGCCACGGACTCTGGCAGGGCTGGCCTGAGGGCCTCCGGAGCACCCGGCGGCGCCGGGTGCTCCGCGGCGCAGCGCGACCCGCCGCAGGCGGGCGATTCTGGGCCTGTGGTCCTCCTTTCCCTGCCCTCCTCCTCCTCCACCTCCTCCTCCTCCTCCTCCCTCCTCCTCCTTCCTCCTCCTCCTCCTCCTCCTCCTCCTCCTCCCCCTCCCCTCTCCTGCCTCCTCCCCCTCTCCTCCTCCCTCCCTCCTCCCCTCCTCCTGCTGCTCCTGCCTCCTCCTCCTCCTCCTCCTCCTCCTCCTCCCTTCCTCCTGCTCCTCCTCCTCCTCCTTCTCCTCCTCCTCCTCCTCCCTCTCCTCCTCCTCTCCCCCTGCTCCTCCTCCCCCCCCCTCCTCCCCTTCCCTTCCCCCCTCTGGCATTGTCGTCCCGATGCGTGCCAGGGGGGGCCCTCGCAGATCGGCCGTGCCCAAGAAATACTCCTCGGGCCAGTGCCCCACGAGGTTTCAGTGTTGTCCGCGGCGCCGGGTCTCAGGGGACGGCCTCCGATCCCAGACATGCGATGTGCTGTTTTGTTCACAACGCGGTCCCCGGAAGTCCCGACCCCTTCCCCCGGGGCTGGCGTCTCATCACGAGTCGTTTTTGATGTTCCCGAGGCCCCGCGAGGGCCCCCAGAGGCTGAAGTCGGCGCAGCACCTCCACCTTGTTGGTTTCAACACTTTGGGTGCCCGAGGCTGCCAGGAGCCGACCGCAGACCCGTGATGGGAAAGCAGTAGCTCTCGGGGGCGGGGCCTGCCAGGGGGACAAGCACTGACGGAATGCATGCCGTTGCTCGACCATCCGACGGTTGTTTATGCTCATGTCATTGCTCGTTCCCCGAGTCTGCGGGCACGGGGGCAGAGGCAGCGAAGACCCCCCCCGGCTGCCTGGCGTGCACGCCGTGGAGGGCTCTGAGCAGGTCTCTGTCGCCGTGCGCTGCCTGCGCGTCGAAGCGTTCGGCAGCCTCCTCTCCTCCACCACCTCGTCGTCGCCGCCATGGGCGCCCCCCTGCATCTGCTCCTGCTCCTCCTGGGCCTCCTGCTCGTCCTCCCTGTCCCCCTCCTCCTCCTCCTCCTCCTCCTCCTCCTCCTCCTCCTCCTCCTCCATCTCCTGCACGTCGTCCTCCTCCTCCAGGTTTGACACGCAACATACCTTCGTGAGTTGTCACCCAACGGGAGGCTTTCAACAGGACAGGGCGTCTCGAGATCAGTCGTGGACGTTGGGTGCAGCAAATCTTGGGAAGGCGTTGGTAGGATCTGCAGCAGGTATGCATGCGATGCTTGGCCCGAAGGTGGTGAACATGGATGGCATGTCCATTGGGGTACTACGTCTGGCGCAGCAATGACAGTGAGGTGGTCAGCTGAGGAGTTGCGTGCTTCTGACGCGGCTGGTTTGGATGGGCTTGCTGGGGGCCCAGGCTTCCAGCTGGGATGCTCCCTCAGCTGGGTCCGCGACATGGACGACGGTTACGCAGCTAGTAGTCGGCATGAAGGAGTATCTGTTGTTTATGGCCCAGAAGAATGCCACGGTCAAGATTCTTTCACCTGGATGAACATTGATGTTTTGTTAACGGTATGCAGGTGGCGTGGAGGATACATAAAAACAAACTGGAAGCGGCTGTTTGGCGAGCGTTCGAGGCCAGATACAAGAAAAAACATATCATCCCATGGGCTGGCACTCTGCCGTATCCTCCTGGGCAACTTCGGGACGCCCTACTCGGAGAAATGGCATGCTGCAGGGACGCGATGCTGGGTCCTGATATGACGACAGTGGCAATGCTAGAGGTAGTTATACGTCGAGCTCTTGCGTCTGGGGTCTCCCGTGCCAGTTCTTCGGAGTGTGGCGAGTAGCATCCCATTCTTCCCCGCAGCCATCTGTGTTCGACAGGTGCTTCGTGACGGATGCCGCATCAGGACAGGTGGAGGGCGACCGTATTTCCGGCGTGTCCAGCGCCGCCGAGCAACCAGAGTAGTGGCGGGGCCACAGGCGCCGGGGCCAACCCCGCTCACCGTCCTCTTCGCCAACAGGAGGGACGCGCGCGCAGGCCCACGAGGGTGAAAACGGCTCGAAGAGCGTGAGGGCCCGCAGCCCGCTGCCTTCACGAAGGCCCAGGGGGAGGCAGAGGCGGAGGCCCTCTTGCTTGAGGCAGGGGGCGCGCGCTCGCCGACCGCCTCCTGCCACGCTCCGACGCGGTGCTCGCCCGGGTCAGCCCGAGTGCCTCGCGGGCGACGCCCGGGGCGGCGGCAGGCGCAGCTCCGAGCGCTGGCGCGCCGACCTTCCCGCCGACACCGGCGGCCGCACCCGCTGCAAAGTGCTGCACGGAGGCGCAGCTCGCCCAGCTCGGGGGGCTCGTGCACGGCATGGCCCAGAGAAGGCAGGCGAGGGCACTGCGGTGCGGGGGACGGCCGAGGCAGATGTCCACACGGGGGTAAGTAGTCTGGAAGATAGCACGGAGGGCCACGTCAAGCTCCAGGGGCGGTCGAAGTCTGCCGTCATGAAGGTCTCGACGGAGACTACGTGGCCGGCGCACTTCAACAAGAATATGCGAGGGTGGATGGAGGATCGGGTGGAAAAGGCCCCGCATAAGCGAGCGCCACGGGCAGAACGTCTGTGGAGTCTGCTCGAAGAGGAGAGCTGAGGCGGCGGCGTTGTGGTGTTATCGCGCGCGTACCCCTTCAAGGCGCATAAGTCCCTGACTTCTACACGTGTATGGTCTTCTTGTTGTTGTGTGCATTTCTTATGTTCCTCTTGTTCTTCCTTGGCGTCTCCGTGTACGTGGTGATGCAGTTGTCTCAAAGATTGCTTAACACGAGCTGGGCCATGGCACCCTTACTTTTGCAAGGCAGAACTTTGGGGAACAAAAAGGAAGCAGCACCATCAAGTGGTGTATCCAGACACTTCCGCGCCTGGCGATTGGGCTATAACGTGTTGTACGTATTGGGACGTGGGTCTGAGGCAACACTGTGCTGCAAGAGACTGTTGATCGTATGCTGTTCGAAACTGGTTGGTCTGCGAGTGAAGGCAGGAGCCGGTTCCGCCTGGCAGGACAGCGCGCCCTCTCTGAGCTGAATTTGCAAATTGTCTCCGGCACGAGACCGGCGGACACCGTGACAATATCATTCCCGCTCTTCCCGTAACCCTCCCACCCCCCCTCCTGCATGATCCCAGTTAACTTTCCTGCCCCCTCCCAAACCGTGCGAACGGATGCGCGGCCGTATCCATTTGGCCCCGGGTGCAAGGGCAGTGCGGGCAAACGCGAAGTAGAAGGTGCTTAGGTATAACACGTGTCCCAGCGTTTGTTGTATGTACACAGAGACTATGCGGTGTCATTGCTCTCGCCTGAGCTGACTCCTGTGCTGAGCGCGCCGGCATAATACTCAGTCTGCTGCACTCCCAGACTTCATGCGTCGCGGCTTTTTCAAGACACGACCCCCCGACCTCTCAACCACTCCGCCAGGACCAGGTTATCATTCCGAATCCTTTTTGTTGATGGCCCCGAGGCCCGCGCAGGGCCCCTACGGGCCGAAAACTATGAGAAGCCTCCGTCTCCAATTCTTCGAGACGCCGGATGCCTGGGCTTGCTTCTGCGCTTCCTGCTCCCCCGAAGAGTCTGTGAAAGGGGCCCTGGGACACACAAACTAATAGACACAAATAACAGGAATCCCGATGTTTTCTCATATTTCAGCTCTTTGGTCTTTCCCACACTTCCCATCTTTTCCCATCTCTTCTTGGGAATCGACAACTAATTGTGTCTGTGTGCTTTTTTCTCCCGAAGAATCTGGAGGAGCACCCCGCCCATCGCCACACCGCGACCGCGGCGAGCGCGCGACGGCAGCCCGGGCCGGCCGGCCGCGGCGTGCCGCCCTGCGCTGCTCGCGGCCGGCCGACAGCTCGCACGACTGGGCGGGGGCCCGTGGGCTACCTGCCAGGCCACCCCAACCCAACCCGAAGACCCGAATTTGACCCGAATTTCGGGTTGGAGGGGGGTGCGGTCTCCATGTGTTTTTTCCACGTTCCCCGACCCACCCCCCACACTGGAAATGGAAGGCAGATTGAGGGCTTCGGGTTGGGTTGGGGTGGTTTGGTGGGTGGTGACCCATGGGCAAGCGCCAGCCACCCCCGAGGGTTCAGTACAGCATCCGAGCTAGGAAAAAATGGGCCCCACGCCGAGCGATCTCTTCAATTGTGATGCAGATCCAGATATATGCGAAAATTAACTCGAGCAAAAAGGCTCCACGAGAACGCCCAGGGTTCTGTCAAGATCCCTGATTTTCATAAAAACAAAATTTGAAGTCCATGAGATCGATGCTCATTCTGCTGGGTGTGGGCCCGGCTCTGGAGTGCGCACGCATCCCAGACCTGCCCGCGCCGTGGAAAACAAATCACGACGGAAAGTTTTTGGCTGTTTTCGGCCCGCGAGCTCCTCCTCCCTCCTCCTCCCTCCTCCTCCTCCCTCCTCCCTCCTCCTCCTCCCTCCTCCCTCCTCCTCCTCCTCCTCTCCCTCCTCCTCCCTCCTCCTCCTCCTCTCCTCCCCCCTCCTCCTCCTCCTCCTCCTCCCTGCCTCCTCCTCCTCCTCCTCTCCTCCTCCCCTCTCCTCCCTCTCCTCCTCCTCCCTCCTCCTCCTCCTCCTCCTCCTCCTCCTCCTCCTCCTCCTCGCCTCCTCCTCCTCCTCCTCCTCCTCCTCCTCATCATCTTCCACGGCCTCCATCTCCGCCTACTTCGTCGCCAACGTCGTGGTCCTCTTCAGGCTCGGCGGCACCTGTCGTCAGGCCTTCACAATCACGACGGAAGGTTTTTGGCTGTTTTCGGCCCGCGAGAGCCCTCGCTGGGCCCCGGGACCTCGAAGCTGGGCCCGGAAAAAGAGTCCGGACTTCTGGTGGCCCGCGGATTGGCTAAGAAGTCCATGCACCAGATCTCTGGGTCTGTGCTCCGAAGTGCCAAATTTATGGCGACCCCAATGTTGAATTTGGCCGCGTTTGTTAATCATATTAGAAAGATTGGAGCCCCGCACGATGGGGGGGGGAAGCGGTCCATCCTCGGGGTGCGTGCGAAGAGCCCCCTCGGGCAGGGGCATCCCCGAGTTCGCCTTTTCTTCCGAGCGGCCAGGGGCGGAACTCGGAGGTCCTGAAAATCCGGCGCGGCAACAAGGTGAAACGTCACGACTGGAGCCCTTTTCCCCATTTTCCTGCTGCATTCCTCCAGACGGATTGACCTCTGCCAGGGCCGTGGGACACCCGAATCCTGGCGAAAACGCTTGGCATGGAAAAGAATGCGCCAGGATCTCAGGGGATAGGGACGCAGAAGTCCCCAGCCGTCCGCCGAGATGAGTATTTCAATCCGCAGTCCCAGAGGCCTCGACCCCCTCCCAGGGGGCAACTCTTCGTCCCAGGTCAATGCTTGATTGTCCCCGGGCCCGCTGTGTGCGCCCCAGAGGGCCGGAGATGGAAACGCCGGGATTGAATAACGTCAACTCGTCGGAGATCTGGAGGGTCCCAGACACCCTGAACCAGAAAACCTTGCCATCCCTGCGGAGGCCGATGTTTACTTCCGCTGGCTTCCCTGAACCCGAAAACCTTGCCATCCCTCGGGAGGCCGATGTCTACTTCCGCCGATCTTCCTGAGCCAAGAGACGTTCCCATCTCTGGGGAGGCCTACGTTTACTTCCGGCAACCTTCCGCTGGCCTTCCGCCCGCAGAGCCGCCGCCGCTTTACTTCCGCGGGCACCCGCCGGCCTTCCTTTCTGCTTGCGCTCACTGCTCCCCCTTGGCGCTGGAAGCTGCGTGGTGAGTCACGCGGAACAAAAAAAACAGCTCTGCCGAAACCGTCGTCTCGGCGCGATCCGAACGTCCTCGGGGCCCCAGGAGGTGCATGGGACGCACAGGGACATAGTAATACTATATGTCCTCCTTGGAGGCGCGCGTCCGACCCGAACATGCAGTATACCAATGTTGTAGTATATCGTTTCCCGAGCGGTGTGGCCAGAAAGCGCCCGCCACGACGCATTTACTAGAAGACATCTCGGTGCGCGCGTCGCCCCTGGCGGGGCGACGCACACATAGTGTAAGTTTGTTGGGGTGACGCCGCGCGCAGGCAGACGGGCGATGCAGAGATGGCAGCGCCTCCGATCCTCGAGGGCGAGGCTCTGTCCGTGGCACCGCCTCCCTCTGGGCACCGCCTGCGCCCGCGCCTCCCCGGCGCGGTGCGCCTCGACCCCTCCCAGCCAGACCGCCCCCGCGAGGCCCGGCCGAGGCCTCGGCGCGGAGGGCGCGGGGCGCCTCCCTCCACGAGGGCGCCGCGCCGTCGGCGAAGAGCGCCTTCAGCACGCTCAGGGCCTTGCTGCTCTCCTCCGGCGGCGCGCGCCCCGGGCGGGCGCGCCGAGGGAGGGCGGGGGGCGCCTCTCCGAGCAGGCGGGCGAGCTCCTCGGAGGCTGGGGCCCGAGCGCACGGGGCCGGAAGATCGCGCCGCGCCGCCGACAAGATCGGCGCCGCGCCGGCGTGGAGAGACTCGGGCTCCGCAGGGAGCCGCATCGCCGACGCATCGGCGAGGCGGCGCGATCCTCGGGCCCCATCTGCCCGGGCCCGATGACCCGTGAGGCCTGCGTAGAGCCGAGGGGGGCGGCGCGAGAGGGGTGGCCTTCCAAGAGGGCGGGAGGGCTCGTCGGAAGGCGGGGGCCTTCTGAGGAGCGCCCGGGGGCTTCCCAGAAGCCAAACGAGAAGCTTCGGGGCGCATCTGAGAAGGCCCCCCTGCCTTCTGATGGGCCAAGCTGCCCTCTCAAGAGGCCAGCCCCCTCGCGCCATCCCTCGCGTGCGCGCCGCCAACTCCTTCCGCTTCTGGGCGACGAAGGACGCCAGGAACCAGAGGACGCGCGAGTGATCCTGGCAGCGGGGCTCCCACATCTCCGGCAATATGATCGTTTCCACCTCGACGTGAGCCCTCTGGGGCGCGTCATCGGGCCCGGGGACAATCAATTGATCTGGAACGGAAAAGTGGCCCTGGGAAAGGGGTCGGGGGCTGCTGGGCCGCAGATGGAAAAATCTGATCGGAGGATGTCAGGACTTTCGGCATGAAGGAACATCTTGTCCTTGAGAGAGGGAGAGAGAGAGAGAGAGAGAGAGAGAGAGATAAATAAAAAAGATAAAGCAATAAAGAGGGAACAAGGGAAATGTCGACCCCGACCCCCGGCTTCGTAAGGCTTACGAATGGACCAGGAATTTTGGGCCCAACCCTAGGATATACGACAGGGCGTCCATCCTCGATAGGTGTGCGTCCGAATAACCCCCTTTTGGGGTGTACCCCAGGGGTTCCCCCTGTATCCGAGCCGCCGAACTTGAGGCCTCGTAAGTAGATGGGGTCGGAGTAGATGGGGTCGGAGGATCGCGCCGCGTCGCCGATACATCGGCGATGCATTGACGATGCATCGGCGATACATCGGCGATGCACTGGCGATACAGCGTCGACATCGGCGGTGCATCTGCGACATCGACGCGGAGCAAGCCGGGCTCCACATCGAGCCGCATCGCCGATGCGCATCGGCCATGCGGCGCGATCCCCCGACCCCGCCCCCTCGGAGCCCCTCCTGGGAGGCCTCTGCAGACACGCCTGCCGGGCGGATCTCGGGGATTTTGATAGGGGGGAAACAACCCTACCTCGCTTTTGACCACCCTCGCTTCCAAGAGACACCAAACGATGCCAAACTGCGGCCTGTACTGGTCAGGCCGCTCGACGAGGAGGCGCGTGGTATGACCTGGTGTTGCCTGGAAGCGCAACAAGCGGGGTAGGTAACTCACGCTCCGATTTGAAGGGGGGGGGCGAGGAGCCGCCGCCCGCGAAGGGGCGGAGGGGGGGGGGGGGGCCCGGGAGGTCCGCGCGCCGCTCTCGCCCCCCCCCCCCGGTGGGGGCCCTGCGCGGGCCCCCCCGCGGGCCGTGCAGCCGCGGCTCGCGACGGCGAGCGGGTCCCCTGGGGGGGAGGGCCCCCGGGGTCGACGGCCATGGTGCGAAGGACCGAGGAGGGATCGCCGAAGGAGGAGCGAGAGAGGCTACAGTCGGCCTTGGTTGGGCAGGACGCGCGAGAGGACACAGGACCCTTCCGAGGGCCACATCGCCCTAGGAGCGTGAGAGGGCACGCGTCGCGAGGCACAGGACACGAGGGTACCCTTGAGCTGGCAGGGTCGACCTACTAATCTGGGCCGACTGTACTCTATAGCCACGGCGAACCTTCGCCACGTATGGGCTCCAAGCCCTGGATCGAAGGGACGGCCCGGAAACCAATGGCCCCTCCAGACAACCAGGGGCTCCCACCGCAGTCATAGGCAGAGGAGAGAGCCACGGCACCCCCATGGCGCACGAGCCGTGAAGCGGTCCCGCCTCTGCCCGTGAGAGCGCCGGCATGCGGTGGCGAGCCTGGCCGACCACCGGCACTGCGACTCCCAGAACGCCACCAGGCAGCGGCTGCACGACAAAGAGGGCCTCGGAGGGGGCGCCGGCACACCCCGCGGGAGGCGCTGGGCGGGGTGGGCTCCCTCGGGCCCCGATCGGCGACCAGCGGGCGAGCCGGGGTCGATGCCCCCCCCCCGGAGCCGATCCCCCCCGCCACCACGGGCGTGTCCCTGGTTCTCACGGCAGCGCCACAGGAAAACCAACCCTGAGACCCCAACCAGGACGTCCATGGATGTTTGGTGCGGGGACGTCGCGATCTCCATGGCAATAACTACCCTGGAAACCCAAGAAACCCAGGGCACCCTGGAGGCAAGCAGGGTGCTCCTTGGCATGGGCCCCCACTGTAGACGCTGCAGCTGCCATATGGGGCTCCAGGCGATGTCCGTGGGCGAGAAGCGCCAGGCTCTGGCCGCGGCGGGCGAGGGGGTCAGCGGTGAGCGGTGCGAGCAGGGCTGCCGCTGCCGTCGCCGCGCCGCGGGGTTGTGGCCGTCGCCGCTGGGCGGTGCGCCGTACGTTGCCGCTGGCTTCCACGAGGAAGGCGCAGCACCAGAGGACCACTGAACGCGGCCCCTGGGCGACGAGCTCCCTGACTTTCGGCGACGGCCGAAAGTCTTGTGCACAGAGAGGTGCCAGGCTTCGAACCGAGTCCTCGGTGCAGTGCGCCGTGCGCTCTGGCCGTCGCCGCCGTGGGGGTCCGCAGAGCAGAGGGGGCCCAAAGGCCAACACTGCTCGGGGAAGAAGCCTGAACCATCCTTGAGGTGTAGGAAGCAACCCCTGGGAGGTCTTCGTAGGAACGCCTGTGCGTGAATCAACCCGACGAATTACAGGGAAATGAAAGCGGACCGCGCCGGAGTAAGCCTGCGAGTAAGCCGGATAAGCCGGGCACTGAGCGGGAGTGCACGGAACGAGCCGGGATTCTGCCGATTTGGGCCGTGCTTCGGCCACGGATCTACCACAGCGCCTGTGCTGAATTGCCCTCTCAGGAGCTGCATCCTGAGCCAAGCCAGGAGGCCCACGCGCAAGCACTGCTCGTGAAGTGAGCCTGGGCCGTCCTCGTGGTGCGTGGGAGGGGGGCAGGTCCATATGGGAGCTGCGCCCAGGAAAAGGCGCTGGGCCGAAACGAAGAGGCGAGGCTGAAGACCCACGCGGCGGTCAGGCGCCGAACACGGGCGAGCCCAGCGAGCCCGTCCCCCGGGGGTGGCTCGTTCCCATCCCGCACCCTCTTCTCCGACGCTGCATTATTGTTCGCGTGGGGCCCCCCGGGGATCTCGATCTGTTCCCCGAGGCCAGCTCTCCATCTGGAGTCGTGTTCTGCAGGTCCCGGAGCTTGGAAACGGCCTCCATGGGAAAACTGACCGCCGCGATCTGTTTTGCCTCGCCCGGATCTGAGAGCCAATCCATATGCACCCGCCCTGAAATCCGCCGACGTCGCTGACAAACTACAACATCGCAAACGCCCCACACACACACACACACACACACACACACACACACTCACTCACTCACTCACTCACTCACTCACTCACTCACTCACTCACTCACTCTCTCACTCACACACACAAAAAAACGGAGGATCCGGCTGTTTTTCTCCAGGTGGATCGATCCGTGAGGGTCTTGGGGCCCGAAACAACACAACATCGCCCGTCGTAGTTTTTGGCGAAACCATGATCTGTGTGCGATGCCACGCCTGACAGCGGGGCGACGGATTCCACGCCGCGGCCCGGCGGGAACGCCCGCTCCGGCGCGCTCCGCGCGATGAAGGTCCTCGGGCGCGAGCTCGCCGGCCGCCACCGCCAGCGCCGCGGCGGCCCCGCCGCTCGCCTGTCTCGGTGAGCGCTGTGTTCGTGCGACGGCGAGGAACCCAGATCTCCGACTACACGAGTCTTGCAATCGGAGCGCTTGTCTTCGATTTCGGCCCTCAGGGGCCGTTGGCGGGCCTCGGGACCATCAGCAGTGGATCCAGGACAAGCAAGTGCGCCCGGGGAAGCGCCCAGGAGAACAGGTGTTCGCGTGGCCCGTTGGGTGGTTGCGTGGCCCGGTGGGTGTTTGTATATGGCCAGGGGTGTCCCAGAGCCTACAAATCCTCGAGCGCGGCAGAGGGGGGGAGGTTCGCCTGCAGGAAGAGACCCAGACACCCCCAAAGCCAATCAAAAACGTATGACGAGCCTCTGAGGGCCTCTGAAAATATTCGTTGGGAGGCTGGCCTGCAAGACGAGACCGAGGCCCCCCCCACCAAAAAAGCCGACAATCAAAGTACGGCCAGCCTTCTGAAGAGCTTCTTGGTGCCAGTGGGAAGCTCCCTGGGGCCTCTGAAGATCTTCCCGGGACCTCTATAGAGCTTCTTTGGGCCTCTGTCGAATTTCTTGGGGTCTCTGTCGACCTTCAGAAGTTCTTGGGGCTTCCGAAGAACCTGCCGGGGCATGTGAAGAGCTTCTTGGGGATTCCGACGAGCCTCTTGGGGCCTGTGAGAAACTTCTTGGTGCCTGTGAGGAGCTTCCTGGGGTTTCCGAAGACCCTCGTCGGGCCTGTGAAGAGCTTCTTGGGGAGTGTCGGAAGCATCTTGGGGGTTCCGAGGGGCCTCGGGGGGGCCTGTGAAAAACGTAACAAATGGAGCTCTCGGTGGAGCTCCCTACGGGGCCAGGAAACATATGAGGGTTGCGTCGATGATGATGATGATGATGATGATGATGATGATGATGATGATGATGATGATGATGATGATGATGATGATAATGATGATGATGATGATGATGATGGTGATGACGATGAGCATTATGATGCTGATGTTGATGATAATGATGATGATGATGACGATGAGCATTATGATGCTGATGTTGATGATGATGTACTCGGCCACGGATAGGATGCGGATGACAATGATGATGATGGTGATGATGGTGATGGTAATGCCGCTGCTGGTGGTGGTACTGATGATGGTGATAATGATAATGATACTGATGATATTGATGGCGGTGATGATGGTGGTGATGATGATGCTGATGATGATGTTGATGACGATAATGACGATGCTGATGATGACAATGACGATGACGATAATGATGATGACGATGATGATGATTATGATGATGTTGATGTCGATGTCGATGTTGATATCGATGTTGATGATGATGCTGATGATGATGATGATTATGATGGTGATGGTGATGGTGATGATGCTGCTGATGCTGACGAGAATGATGATGGTGATGCTGATGCTGATGATGATGCTGATGCTGATGCTGATGCTGATGCTGATGCTGATGCTGATGATGATGATGATGATGATGATGATGATGATGATGATGATGATGGTGACGTTGATGCTGATGACAGGGATGAGGCGGAAGTGGATGGGGGAGGAGGATGACGATAAGAAAGAAGAGAAGGAAGGAGGGAAGAGACGCGCGGCGCTGCGAATTCAAAACGAGGGCCCAGCACACGGGATACTTAGGGAAACCACCAGCTCCCCCTTCCGGAAGCGTTTCCCTCCTCTCGCTGTCCTTCCTTTCCCCTTCTTCGACTCCTCCGTCTTCGCAGTCGTAAGGCTGGAGGCTCTAACGCCCACGCATGGCTGGTCGCTTGCCCCGCTTGCGGTGGACGGGCCCTGTTCTTGGCGGAGTGACCAGGAAGGCGCACCGTCGACCGGCCTGCTGCTCCGCCTACGCTCATATCACTCAGGTCCTGGGCCACCTCCGGGGGGGCCGCTCCGCGGCCTGGGCTGAAGATGCCTTCTCCAAGGGGCGGCGCAGGGGGAAAGGGGGTGAGGGGGGAGGGGGGTTGGGAGGAGAAAGGAGGCAGAGAGGGGAGAGAGGGGTGGGGCAAGGGAAGTGCGAGGACAAAAATGGGGCGTGGTGTGCGTCTAAAGGTGCAACCCCGGTCTCACCAGCAAGAGGTCACTAAGACATCCTCCCACAGCCTCTCTCTCTCTCTCTCTCTCTCCCTCTCCTTGCACCTACACCGCCTTCCCATCTCCCATTCTCTCTCCCCGTCTCATCATTACCCTGTCCCCCGTTCCTCCTCATCCCCCTCCTACTCGTTCTCCTCCTGCTCCTCCTGCTGGTCCTCCATCTTCTCCTCCTCCTCCTCCTCCTCCTCCTCCTCCTCATCATCATCATCATCATCACCATCACCATCACCATCACCATCATCATCACAATCATCATCACCATCATCATCATCATCATCATCATCATCATCATCATCATCATCATCATCATCATCATCATCATCATCATCATCATTATCATCAGCATCTTCATCATCATCATCATCATGAACATAATCATACTCATCAATTTCAACATCATCATCATCCTCGTCATCATCATCAACAATATCAGTATCATCATCACCATCATCATCAGCATCATCATCACCATCACCATCATCGACATCGGCATCAGCATCATCAGCATCATCAGCATCATCATTATGCGCTTCCTCCTCCTCCTCCTCCTCCTCCTCCTCCTCCTCCTCCTCCTCCTCCTCCTCCTCCGCCTCCTCCTCCTCCTCCTCCTCCGCCTCCGCCTCCGCCTCCTCCGCCTCCTCCTCCTCCTCCTCCTCCTCCTCCTCCTCCTCCTCCCACAGGTGGGACAGTCGTCCAGGCTGTCTGTCAGCGCTGCAGCTTCGCGGGCCCCCTTGGCGGCAAAGGAGAGGATTGTCCCAGGTTGCGAGTGCACCCTCTTGCACGATGGGTCGGTCGGGCTCTTCCCTGAACCTTGCAATGGCGACTGGGGCCACGATGAGGAGGAGACAGAGGACGATGAGAAGACGGAGGGCGAGGACGACGAAGGAGAAAAAGGAATCGTGTGAGAAGCGGGGGGGGGCGATGCGCAGGGGGTGGGGGGAGAGCCGAGGAAAAGGATTGATGGAACGAGTGATGACGGAGATGGCCTTGCGGCCGCTCTTGGCGGCTCGCAGCGATGTCGGCGCTTCGGAGGGCTCTCCTCACGACCAGTTGCTGCGGTGTGGCGGTCGCCGCAGAGTTGGTTGCTCCCTCTTGTGCCTGCCGCCTCGATCTGGGCTGTGGAAAATGGGCCTTGTGGCGCGCGCCACAACGTCCGCAGAAGCCGCAGCTCCTGGTGCCCAAGGGCCATGCCGAGGCAGAACCGAAGGGGCATGCTGATGTCAATCACGGTGGTGATGATGATGACGATGGTGATGATAGCGATGCTGGTATTGTTGTTGATGACGGTGGTGGCGATGGCGTTAATGGTGACGGTGTTTGTGATGGTCATGGTGGTGATGACGATGATGAAGCTGATGATGATGACGATTGTACTCACAGGTATGGGCATGAGGGATACGAGGAAGGGTCGGATCATGGTATGGTCCTGACGGGAAGGGTTACGATGACGATGATGTTGACAGGTATGTTCATGAGGGCGAATATGGTTGTGATACAGCTGCCCGCAGCAAGTCCGCCACCGCGCCAGTCCAGCATTCTAGGTGGCGGCTGGTCGAATTGATGATGCTGATGATGATGACGATGATGAATAGGACGATGGGGACGATAATGGTAATACTGCTGATGATGGTGCTGGTGATGGTGATGGTGGCTGTGATTGAAAGTGTGATAATGTTGGCAATGATGAGGCTGATGATGATGACGATGAGAAGGTCGAGGAAGAGGTGGGCACGAGGACACGGAGCAGGAGGAGGAGCAGGCAGTAGGAAGCAGAGCGAGAGATAGAATGAGAGGCAGGAGGAGACAAGAGGGTGGAGCAGTGTGTCCAGGGCGGGCACGGGGGCCGACGCTTTTTGGTATTATGTGTGTAGATGTGTGTAGATGCGTGCGTATGCTTAGAAGCTGCGGTTGTGCCTAAACGCAAGCACGCGCCTACGAGCATGACGCCCCCCCCCCCACACACACACACACCACACACACACACACACACACACACACACACACACACACACACACACACACACACACACGCACGCACGCACACACACACACACACACGCACACACACACGCACACACACACACGCACACACATACACACATACACACACACACGCGCGCAGACACACACGTGCAGGCATACTTAAATACAGACATGCGTATGTATAGATACGCGTGTTTCTTGTATTTATACATGTATATATATATATGTAGATATAGATGTATCTATATATATCTATATAGAGAGAGAGAGATGGGTTGGCCCCAAAGGGGCGAGTATATCCATATCCACCGCCCGACGAAAACCAATACTATAGATTTGCAAGGTGGTGGATTCGATCTCAACCTCGGATTTCTGGCAGCGACCAAAAACACGAACGTTCAAGGTGTGGTCAGCGGAACAACGACACTCAAAACTACTCTTCGGAGACACACGCATCTATATATAGAGAGAGATAGATAAGCCATAGTGGAACCGCTGTCCGGAAAGCAATCTGCGCTCGCAGGCTGCACACACAAGGATACCTCGCGAACGTAACTATTGCCAATACCACAGTCTGGGGTGAGCAGAAGCGCACACATGTAAAACAGCGAGTTGTAATAAAGGCCAGATTGCATACAATTCTTCCAGCAACGCCCTCCACGCAAGGATTACTGCGCAAATGCCGCAGCTCCCAACAACCTGTCACGAGTGGCAACCCCGACCTCTGTCAGGCCTCCCTCTGGCAGGGTTGGCGACGCAGACAACGACGAAAACTTGTCCTGGCAACGCGAGAGTGGAAGAAAACACAGCTCAGAAGTCTGCGCTGTGTGACTGCGTGCCTATGTTGTCCTGGGATCTTCCACGGCCAAGCCCCCAAGACCCCCCACAGGAAAGGGGAACTCCAGACCTCCCCACGACGCCGCTCCTCCAAACTTCGGTCCTGCTACCCCGATCGAAACGCCTTAGATCAGCGCCCTCGATTCTTCAAGGCTGGGCGCAGTGCAAGACGCCCAAGTCGGCGCGGACGCGATCGAGACCCCGCGCCCCCGAAATAGCACCGACGACTTGGCGGCGGAGGCCTCGGCGGGCGGGACAGACGGCCAACGGAATGGCGGCCATGGTGACACCATGCAGCGCGACCGGATCGCAGGAAAGCGTGGCAAGGGTGCAACGATCGGGTCGGGCGAAAGGGGGGGATAGCAAAGGGGGGGTTTGAGAATCAGCTCACGTAGCTGATTTTCCCGGCGCCTCCCGGCGCCGGAGGCGACTATGTATCGAGGAATGGGCTCCTCGGTGAGGCCGAAACTAGCTGCATGCAGCAGATTTCGTAACCCCCCCTTTCCCTATCCCCCCCCTTTCGCCCGGCCCGAAACGACCTTGGACGTTCGCACGGACGCCGCCTGACCGCGGGCTGCAAGCGGTAGTGGCTAAGGCTGGGCCGCACCTGCAGGGACGTCGGGGTACTCTTTTTGAGGCACCAGAACATACCGATACCTCTACTCCATGGGCCTCTCCCAGGAAGCGTCGCGCCCGGGATTCCAAGCGAGTGCAGCCGTGGCGACGAGGGGCCTCCCGGGAGGCCCGAGAAAAGGCCAAGTCGAGGCGGGGATCTCGGCATCGGTAGCTTGTCCTCCCCAGGCTCTCGGAGAGCTGCTCCTCCTCCCAGATTCTGCTCGACTGCGCCGCTCGGCATGGCGATCGCAGCCCGAGGCTTCCTGCCGTGGACGGCCGGGCTGCGCCGAGCGGGTGCCGGCTGCGCCTTCGTGACGGCGGTGTACAGGGCGTTGAACGCAGAGGTCTCGGTGTCCCTTAGCCGGGCAGCACGGCGCGGAGAGGCTCGGCGTGCAGCGTGGCAGCGGCGACGCCCGCCTGCAGACAGAGTGCGGCCCAAGCACAAGGAGAGAGCACGGAACCAGAGGCAAACAAGTCCACTCGGGAGAAACAAGGGCGCAGCTAATACCGGGGAAAGGGGAACTGCGGAGAGGAGAAGAGGAGGGCGCAAAGATGGCCCCAAGACGGCCCAATACAGCGAGGCCGTAGATATGGATACGCCCATCAGACTCCTTGTCGCGAGCAGCTAACATCGCGATGAAACTGACCAGCGCCCAAGCCCCTTTCTGCGGCATCTCTGGACCCAGATTGATCTGCGAGGGTCCTGGGGCCCGAACCTGGGCAAAAACGCCTGGCGCGAAACAACAACAAAAAAAACGCCAGGATCAGCAGAAGAAAGCACGCCATAAACATAAACTGTTGGCGCTCCGCGCGGATTTCTTGGATCTGCGCTAGAGACCTCTGGCGCGCGGAGCGCGCCGGAGGCGCCGCCAGGAGGCCCCAGCGCAGATCCAAGAAATCCGCGCGGAGAGCCCAAAGTGCATGTTGATGGCGTGGCTTCTCCCTCCAAGGACCTCAGGGGTGCTCCTCTCGCCGACGCGGACGGCGACCGAAGGCTGATGCCCTTTCCCGCAGCAGCGCGGACGGCGGCCGCGCGAGCCCACCGCGCGCGCAGGGCTGGCCGTGTGCGTCGAGGCCCCCGGGCGCTCTCGGCGGAGGCTGAGAGGTGTCCCCGGGCCCGGGGGCGCGACGCCTGCGATGGCTCCCCCTCCTCCTCCTCGTCCTCCTCCTCAGGTGGGCCGACTGTCCACCACCACTACCATGGGCAGGAGAGGGCGGAGGAAGAGGAGAGGGAGGAGGAGGAGGAGGAGGAGGAGGAGGAGGAGGAGGAGGAGGAGGAGGACATCCCCATCCTCCCTTCTCCCCCGTCCTGCCTATGGTCGTGGTGGTGGAACGTTGGCCCAGCATCCTCTGCTCCTTCGCCTCTCCTCCTTCTCGGAGGGCAGTCCTCCCCACCCCTCACCCCTCCTCCGCAGCGGACCTCCCCACGCCGTGAGACAACTATGTTTCGGACAGTCGTCGGGCCGCGTTCTGCCTCCCAGTCGACTCGGAGGAACCGGAGCGAGCCCCACCGGGGGTCCACGTCGTGGGAGCCCCACGACGTCGGGGGGCCGGGTCTCCCCCTCCCCTCCGCCCCTGCCTTCCGCCCCCTCCCACCGCTCCCCCGCTTCTCTCCCCCCTCCCTTCATCCCCGCCACGGAATGATCAGGCGAGCGAGGAGCGGCAAAGGAACACGAGCACCGCCCGCGCGGAGCCGCAGGAGGCGTGGAGGCCGGGCGGGCCGGGCCAAAAAGAAACTCGAGAGGGGCAGCACGTGAGCTGCCGAGAGACTGGGGGGAGACGAGGAAAAGAAGGATGGGGATGAGGAGGGGCCAGGAAGGCGAGGGCATTTCTGCAAGAGGAGGGGGAAGAGGAGGAGGAGGAGGAAGGGGAGGAAGAGAAAGGAGATGAGATGAGGAGGGTGAGGAGGCGGACGTGTAAGGAGGATGCGGGGGGGAGGGGGAGGCAGGAGGGCGAGAAGGGCAGGAGAAAGTGGAAGGAGCACTGAACACCATGAGAACGAGAAGGAGCGAGAGGAGGGACGGAAGGGGATAAGAAACGACGAGGACGATGAGGGGGATGAGAAGGACCAGCAGAAGGGCCAAGAAAGATGGGGGAGCAATGGTAAGACGGTGCCAGGGCGAGGATAACATCGGCTGAGGAAAAATCAAAAATCTCTAGGAAAGGGCGGCTCTGGAGGATGTCTCGGCGTCGCGGCCTTCACAGAGCGTTCCAGAACGCTCTGAGAGCGTTCAGGAACGCTCTGGAACGGACATATCCTCGTCCTAGCCCCATCCGAAGGAAGGCGGTGGTGGACCCATCCGCCAGGACTAACACCGCCAGGCCCCTACGGCCCAGCAATTCCAAATGTGGTGGCAGAACGGCGTGGCTGGGCAGCCGGCGGGGTCGCGGGCGCGCGCGCGCGGCCCGCGCGTGAGAGGGCACACCGAAACACGCCAGAGGGGCAATTCCCGCCCGAGCTCGCACCTGGGCTTTCGCGCCCGAGGCACGACTCGGGGATTCGCGGCCGGGCGCGCGGGCGTCGGCGAGCGCGGGCGAGCGCCCGGCCCCCGCCGCGCCTCTGCTCTGCATCCCGTCCTCCCCTCCCCTATCCCCGCCTCTGCGTCCCCCCCCTATCAGGAGGGAAAGAAACACACAGACACAATTAATCGTCGACTCCCAGGAAAATATGCAAAAATATGGAACGCGGTGGGGAAGACAAAAAACCCGAAAATATGGGAAAATATGGGGGATAATTTTATTTGTGTGTATTTATTTGTGTGTTCCAGTTCCCCTCTACCCTATGGCGCCACGGGGCTCTCCCCACGCCTGCCACACACGCGCCACTCCCCCGAGGCTGCGCCGAGCCGCCGCCGCGGGTTCCATGGACGGCTCGACCGAGGGCCCCGTGCTGCCCGTCGGCCAAAAAGCGGTCGCGGGTGGCACCATCTGCCTGTCTTCTGCGCGGGAGGGTTGCGCTCCACAACGGCCCACGATCGAACCCCGAAGGAATCCTGGCAGGAACGAGACGGGTCATGAGGAAAAGGGTCCCGTACCCTTGGACGCCCGAGTTATCCGGGGTAACTCGGGTCCGGGGTAACTCGGGTTTGGGTTCCCGGAAAACGAACCCGAGTTAACCCTGACCCGAGTTACCCCTGACGATTCGGGGCTCTGGACGCCCGAAATATCCGGGGTAACTCGGGTCCGGGGTCATTCGGGTTCGGCTTCCCGAAAAACGAACCCGAGTTATCCCTGACCCGAGTTACCCCTGACGATTCGGGGCTCTGGTACCCTGTGGCCTTCCCCCTGAAGAACCCCTAAAGAATCCTGGCATGAACGAAACGGGTCATGAGGAGGAGGAGGAGGAGGAGGAGGAGGAGGAGGAGGAGGAGGAGGAAGAGGAGGAGGTCTGTGGCCTTCCCCCTGGACCAATTATTCATCCTGCATCACTGCCCAACGGTATACAGGGGCCCTGGGGAGGGCCCCGGGAGCCCGGAAACACGCAGAAAAAACAACTCCAGCAAGACTGTTCCCCTCGGGACCCCCGTCCCCGGCCCTGGCGAGGGATCGGAGATCGGAGGCGAATCTGGCGAGCGCTCGGAGCCCTCGGCGGCCGATTGGCGAGCGCTCGGAGCCCTCGGCGGCCGATCGGCGCCCCGCTCACGGCGGCGGCACCGCCGCGGCGCTGCCCTACAGCAGGCGCGGCCCGAGGCGCCGCTGCAGCTCCTGGACCCTGCGCGCGAGGTCGCGCGCCTCCGCCAGGTCGCGCCGCGACTCGAGGGCGTCCTCGAGGCGCTCCACCTCGCGGGCGCACGCCGGCAGGGACGGAATATCCCCAACCCCAAAAACCTCCGGAGGCCCTGCGCTGGATCCACGCGCAGAGGCCCAGCGTACCTGGCCAGTGTCAGCGGCGCGCACAGAGGGGTGGGGGGAGGGGGGCAGGCTTTGATGAGCGTGTTTTCCACCACCACCACCACAAGTTGGAGGGGGGGGTCCCTCCTCCTCCTCCTCCTCCTCCTCCTCCTTCCTCCTCCTCCTCCTCCTCCTCCTCCTCCTCCTCCTCCTCCTCCTCCTCCTCTCCTCTCCTCCTCCTCCTCCCCCTTCGCCCCATCCAACTTATGGTGGTGGTGGTGGAAAACGCGCTCATCAGGCTGCCCCCCTCCCCCCCATACCCCCCTTGGCGCGTGGCCGGCGCGGAGGGCCGAGCGCTGGACAGGCCTGGCCACGCCTAAGTCATCGCCCAGGCTCTGGCCGCCTCTCCTGGCACAGTGAGGGCTCTCCGCGGAGCTGGCGCACAGGGAGCCGGCGCTGTGCCTGGTGCTCCGTTCCAGGGAGCGTGCGGGAGAAGGAGGCGGAAAGCCGGGGGGGAATGTCGGGGGCGACGATGTGGGGGAGCAGCCAAGGCTGGCGGCGCGCAGGAGGGGGGTATGGGGGACGGGGGGAAGGCTTCTTAGAAGGGGCTCGCTTCTCAGAAGCCGCGGGCCTTACATCTGCAGACAAGGCCCGCGCCTTCTCAGAAGCAGCCCCCTCCTAATAAGCCTTCCCCCCTCCTCCTACCCCCCTCTGCGCGCCGCCAGCGGCGATGTATCCAGGGGCGCCGATGGCCCGTGCCTTCGTTGAGGCTCCCGGGCGAGAACGCGTAGTGCCCGAGCCTATAAGCACGTCGCCCCCCTCGTCGCCTCCGGGCA